GCCGCCGCCTACGGTCCAGACGCCAGGCCAGGCCAGAGCCCCGGGCGGCTGGAGGCGCTCGGCGGCCGCCTGGGCCGGCGGAAAGGCTCAGGACCCAAGAAGGAGCGGAGACGCACAGAGAGCATTAACAGCGCGTTTGCGGAGCTGCGCGAGTGCATCCCCAATGTGCCGGCCGACACCAAGCTCTCCAAGATCAAGACTCTGCGCCTGGCCACCAGCTACATCGCCTACCTGATGGACGTGCTGGCCAAGGACTCACAGGCCGGTGACCCCGAGGCCTTCAAGGCTGAACTCAAGAAGGCGGATGGAGGCCGCGAGAGCAAGCGAAAAAGGGAGCTGGTAAGTCCGGGGGCCTGTATGCTCTAGTCAAGGGCGCGGGCGCGCGGGAAGCACCCGCAGGCCAAATACGCAGTGGAAGGAATCTCCGTTGCCGTGCGTGCTATTTTGAGAGGCAGAGGGTAGTTCTCAAATGGTCAAGATGTGCACGGAGGGAAGCAGATTCATATTTGAATTTATTTGTAATGTGGATCGTGTTTGTAAGACTGTGAATGAAGACCAGAATCTTAACATTTCGGGAGAGGGTCAGAGTCCCTTTTAAGAGTCCATGGGAAGCTTCAGACGCGGAGAACACACGCATGGTTTCTTTCTTTCCAATCTTGAGGGGTCCAGATTCACCTCTGGGCTCTCCTGGAAACCAGGTTATGAATGCCTTAGGGTTTAGTTACTTCAGTTTGAATGTGAATTTATGCTTATAGGCTCAGCTACTGTTTTCACAAGGCCTTTGCTGGAGAGGTTAGTCTACTGCCATCCTTGTACAGATAGGGAAACTGAGGCCCAGAGCAGGACAGGACTTGAAGGTTACCTACCCAAGGAGCTGTTTATTTGGGTAAAACAAGTAAGTCTACTCCCTGTCCAGAGCGTGTTCCAGTGCTCCACTCCCTACGGCCGGCTCTGAGGGCCACCTTGATGGTTTTGTGTGTAAAGGCCAACAAGCAAGAGTCAAGAGTCTCACCCACTTCTTTTGGTTTTGGAGATCGCGGTTCATACCGGCCTCTCTCGATCCTCTCAAGTGAGGTGACACTTCCTAGAGCTTGGTTTCTCTGGCCCAGGGTTCTGGGACCTCTGAAGGCAGTGATTTCCAGGCTGGTGAACTGAAATAGTTTCTCTAGGATGGTGCACTCAGGGCTGCAGTGCGTTGGAGTTGACCAGAGAGCCCCCCCCGGATTTTATCTGTCCTGCAGGGGCTGTGATAAACTAGGGAAAGCTCACCTGGGGAGACTGGGAAATACCCTAGCCAATGAGTTTTTAAGGACATGCAGGCCCAGGCGACTGCTGGTTAGAAGTAATTGTTGAGCATATCTTCTCCACCCCCTGCACATCACCACCTCCTTCAAGGAGCGGGGAAGGGGGATGCTAGGGCAGGCCAACTGCCCCCGCCCCATCGCCTAGCCTTCTGAGCATCTAGCGCCGGCTGGAGGGACCCAACTCTGTACCCAAACCCAGGTGCTAAACTAGGTTGGAAAGCCGGTGGGACGTGTTGGGGGAGCAGGTCCTCGAGGGAGAAGACTGTTGATTCCCACCCCTCCCATTTGAACCCCTGCAGTCTCCCTACGGCACCATAAAGCCAAACCTACAAGCATCAGTTTCACTAGACACAGAAAATTCTCATTATCAAACCCCAGAAGCTGCCCAGTCCATCCCGGACCTGGGAACTCGGGGCATAAAGGCAAATTTATGAGCCTGTTTGCCTATTTTGCAAACAGAAATTCGTCACTTATTTAAAGACTCTCAATTACTGCTCCCAACACCTTTTACCCCACTCCACTTTTACCCCACTCCCGGGCGATTGGAGCAGAAACATTTAAATCTGTCTCTCTCGCCTCTTTTCTTGTGTGTGTCCTCTGGCAGCAGCAGCACGAAGGCTTTCCTCCTGCCCTGGGCCCAGGCGAGAAGAGGATTAAAGGGCGCACAGGCTGGCCACAGCAAGTCTGGGCGCTGGAGTTAAACCAGTGAGCCGAGGACCGCAAAACGGCTGCCCGACCCCGGGAGGAGAGGAAGGCGGCGGCGAGCGCCGGGCTCTGGGTTCCAGGGACTTGTAGGGGTGCGTCCTGCCGAGCCTCTGCTGCGCGCTGGCAGGTTGCTGGCTCCAACTACACACTTGGATCGCACGTGCAATGTCATTTGAAATTGTTTTTAATACATGAAGAGAAAGATAAATATATATATAACCACCCCCGACCCCGGGCAACCGAGAGGGCGGCTCTTGGCTGCCCGAGTCGAGAAGGAGGGACCGCGGGACACAAACTTTAAGGTGTACCCTTCCAACCCTTCTGGGGCGAATTTAGAACCCTCGGGATGCCTTCCCCACTACGCTATCTAGATGCCTTTTCTCGTCAGCCTCCCCGCTTCGCGTCAAAACCCTCGGCGCGCGCTCTCCTTCCTAATTACAATGCAATAAGAGGAATCAGTAGTTTTCTGCCAGGGAAAGAGAACCAAGCCAGGAAGAGGGAGGGCTGCTTTTGTTGTTCTCCCTCAAACAGTGCTGTTTTTATTTTATTTTTTGTCGCTGCACTTCCTACTTAGTTCCAAGGGAGACACTCTTTACCTCTCTTTCCTTCCTTTAAAAATTTTTTCTTCTTTCATCTTTTCCCTTTCCTTTTCTTTCCTTCCTTTCCTTCTTTCTTCCTTTTCTTCTTTCTTTCTTTCTGTCTTTCTTCCTTCTTTTCTCTTCCTTGCTTCCTTCTTTCCTTTGCAAATAAAAACTTTTCCCTATGTTGAAAAGTTTTTATGTATTTAAACTACCTACCGTGCCTGCTGCGCTCAGGTGTTTGTTTAATCTCCCATCCCCACCCTTTTTCTACCTCAAATCTATATGACCACTCACTGCCCCCTCCCTTTGCCAGAGCAGTATCTATGCTCTTGACTAATAAAACATTTTCTGAAATCAGCAGAAGCCTCTGTGATATTTTGGCGGGTGTCCTGACCCCGGTCCATCGTTTCTGTTAGGTAGAGAGTCTCCAGTTCCTACTTCTCTTTTGATAAACGCCAAACCAAACTACAAATTAAGTAAAGGGAAGGGGGCAGATAAAGGATTTACTCCTGGAACAAAGAGCAAAGTTCTCCTTAGAAGATGGGGGTGGAGGGGCAGGATAGCTTTAATCAACCCACAGAAAGGAAAACTGGAAACGAATTAGACCCAGAGAGGACCGGCTAGGACTGATGTGGGTCAGCATTTGGGTCTGTCTGTGGGTTAGTATGCACCTCGGTGTCTGCAGGCCGTGTGTTGGTGGTTATTGGGACGGGCGCCGGTCACACAAACGAACGGCATGGCGAGGGCAGGGTAGCTCGGAAGAGGGGAATGGCTCGGGAATACGGTCACTAATGTGAAATTCTGAACATATAGTTGCACGTGCAACGGTGCAAGAACTCACATGCAGCCGCGTGGCTGAGGAGGTGGGGGTGCAACGAGGGTCTGCTTAGCAAAGTCCCAACAAGCAGCAAGGGCTCGGCAAGGCAGAGCAGCCATAATTTTCCACATGAATGAAAGAACCTTGTGAGTGCTTATGGTCAAAGCGAGACATTTACGTTTCTCTCTAGCAACAAACACTTAACAAATATTTGTGAGAGCATATGGATTTGTGCAAAGGGATGGGGGTGGGGTATGTGCAGGCTAGTCTGGCACTCGTGCAGGAGAGCCGGTCTCGGTACCCCCACCTGCGCACCCGCGGCTCGGTCTGAGGGTGAATAAAAGCGCGTGCATTTGTCAAGGCGCGGATGAGTGCTGGGCCGAACTGGGGCGAGCAAACGCAGGCGACTGCAGGTCGCTGAATAATAGCGTACAGACAACCAGCGTGGTTCGTGTGCGATGCTCTGTGCTAAGCGCTTTTATGTCTCCTAACAGCTCCCACGATTGCCGGAGGGAGAGAACGGTCTGCAGGGCTGGCACGGGTCCCTGGCCCTCGCTGCGAGGGAGGCGCGAGGACGCGCGCGCTGGTCTCCTGGAGTTTTCCCCGCTCCACATCCGGAGCTGGAGGCCCGGGCTTGGGCCCGAGAAAGGAGACCCCGGGCAGCTCCGGGGCCAGGAGTGCCTCAGGCGTCCGGTCCCGGCATCAGGGTGAATATGGGGCCCTATTAGTTTGGGCTGTAAACACCGTGGCAGGGCTGAGCGGCCACGCGGGCCTTTCCGGACGCGAAGGAGTTAATAAAAGGTGTTTTATGGGCGCGAGGAAACGGTGGAGGAGGTGTGAGCTTCTCTCTACTCTGACCCCCCTACTTTTTTCTTTATTCCCTCTCGCCACCCGCCGCCAGATCAAAAAGGCCGGCGATTTAACTAGGGCAACACCTCGCGGTAATGAGCCGGCCCGGGACACCCCTCCCCCGCCTCAGTACCCGGCCCGAGGCCCCAAGGCCCCTCGGGGAGGAGCAGAAAAGAAACATCGAGTTTTCCTTTTCTTTCCAAGAGCTGGGGAGCCCCTTAGAAATCCAGACAGGCACGGGGAAACTGAGGCTTGGGGAGCAAGCCAACTGAGGTTTGCCCCAGCACGGAGGGGACATTTTCTGGATTCGAACCCAGGACTCCAGTTTAGTTTACAGACCGTCTTATGGCTATACGCAGAACACCCCGCCCGCGACTATTTTTAGCATCATGAAGTATCCTAGGCACGGGAAGAATGCGCACCCGGGTCCTGCTTTCTCGTAGCCTCGGCCAGTGAAAGGAGAGAGGGTACCGAGGGGTACCGCCTGCAGAGGCCGGAGCCAAGTTTGGCATAAGCACGCCTCCTCCGAAAACCCCATCCCGCGGGGCGCAAACCCTCTTAGAGAAGACGGCGCGGGGAGCCCCACATTCGTTCCCAGCCGTTCTGGTCCCAGTCTCAGATCTTGCACCCAGGAGCTGAGACAAGGGGGCGGGTGCCCACGGAGGGGGTCTCGGGTGTCCTCCCACTTTCCCCAAACCTTACTGCACTGTCTGGGACGCCCGAGCCACATTCCCAGCCCTCACTTCCCAGCTGCAAAAGCTGAGCCTCCAGAGCAGAACGGAGTTGCTCTGGGTTTCACCAACCAGACTGAGACAGGGGCTCCAGACTTGGGGTCCAGCTCTTCTCCTCGCCCCGGGCTCTCGGGCCGCTCATGCATCCTCAGCTCTCCTTCCGCAGAATGGCCTTGGAGCCTGCCTTTTACTTTCTTATTCTCTCCCAGGGTTCAGTGCGTTTTGTCGGTACCCTACCTCCACCTGGCTCTGGGGGACGGTGTCATTAATATTATTTTGGGATTAAGGACAGCAACTATTTTTTTAATCTGGAGGGGGGGGGGCGGTGGAAATGCAATGGTCACGAACTTAAAATTAAATTCCAGGGATTTATTGTAAGGAAATACTAACTACTGTTACAGAGCTTTAACTAAAGGGCTATTCTACAAAAGAATGGAAAATAGGAAAGGACCTCCCATATATTATAATTACAGAACTGGTTAACTAAACTCACCAGTGGGTTACCACTCAGCCCCTGGAAAAAATGTGGGAATTGATATGGACATTGTTCATGGTATAAATGGGGGGGACCCCCTTCCAAGTTTCTAAAGACTGTCAGTAGTGACCTGCTTAATGTAAAAATAAATAAATGAATATCATTCATGGAGGAAAAAGTGAAAGAATATACATCAAAACATTTACACCTCTGTGTCTGAGTTGTGGTAATAAGGATAATTTTGACTTTTTCTCCTGCTTAACAATGTATACACACACACACACACATACGTATATTTACAATGAATAAGTATTAATTTTGCAATAAAAAAATTAAGCTGCAATTTCCTTCTAATCGCTCCTGTGGCCAATGTACTTTCAGTACAGTTTATTCAACATGCATTAATTGAGCTCCCACCTTGTGCTCGGCACTGTGGGTATAAATAATGTATAAGAAACAATCCTAATAATCGTCATCAATTAACATACAATAGTAAATATTTGTCTTGAAGGGTTTCTTATTCCTTTCACACAGTGAATACAATCTTTTCCATACATTTAAAGCCTATTAGTACATGAAATAATAACGGTGGTAAAATTTTATTAAGGAAATTACTTTAACCTTACTTAGCATGCATTATTTTATGTAAGCCTCCTGAGGATAGCGTGAGGTTACTACTGAAGCAGCTGGGGCTCAGAGAGGTGAAGAACTTTGTTCAAGGTCAGATGACGGTGAAAGGCAGGCTGGGCTCGGATCAAAGGGCAGGTCTGGCTGCCTCCCGAGACTTGGCTTTTCCCCACATGTCAGAGCGCCTCTGTGTGTGTGTGTGAGAGAGTGTGTGTGTGTGTGTGTGTGTGTGTACACACAAACTAGAGAAAGAAAGAAGGGAGTTTATGAAGGGATGCGGGATTCTAACTCCAGCTTTCCCCTGGAAACTTCTTCCTCCATCCCAGCTCAGAGTGGATCCCATCTGAAAATGAGGAGGGGTGTGGGCTCCTTACCATCTAGGTTCTTTCCTGACTATAACAATGATTCTAGAAATCCACTTTCTGCTGGTGACAAGCTCAGCCTGTCATACTTTGCACTAGTCTGTGACTCCTCTTTCTCGGGTACTTTCACTTCTACAAGCACATTTTTCTCCCCATGAACTAGAAGGGAGAAGGGCAGGAATTAGGCTCCTCATGGACAGATGGAGAAAGGAAGACACAGAGAGGGAAACAACCAGCTCAGGGTCACACAGCCAGTCACAGACTGAGCTGGGGAGGAGACGGCAGTCTGCAGACTTCAGGCCCAGGGCTCTCTTGGAAAAGGCCCTAGATCCTTCTCTTCATGCAACCAGCAGTTAAGCTTATGGTCTTGCTAAATCTTTATAAAAGAAATGAAAGCAAGAAATCAGCCAGTCTCATTTTTAAATGAAAAGTGACTACTAAGAAAAAATATGCAGGCTCTAAAGTGTCTGAAACCAGCCTCCTGATTTAAGCCTAATTTGTTTGAAAAAAATGGTTTTTTCCAGCCAAGAGAGTTTTTACAGCTGAGCTCTCCCAAACCCATAAAAAACAAGGTTTATATGGGAAATAGTGAAAGACTCTTAACTGTAATACACAGCGTCTAATGTAAGCAGACATAGACACTATATAAAGCTCCTACAAATGTTATTAAAACAAACAGAAATGCACATTTATCCCCACAGAATGGACAACGGAAGGCATCAGACTTTCAAGGAGTTCCAGGAGTCCTATGTTCACGGCAATGCTCAAAGCACCCCATCACACTGGAACCTCAAAATCCTTACCCACCATCCAAACATTACCCTCTTTCTAGGGAAGGGGAAACTGAGGCCCACGGAGGGGAGGGACTTGCTTAAGGTCACAAGGGGAGTTGTACTCTTCTTTTCTTCTCGTCTGCCTAACCCCTCTACTTCCAATGAAGGGGATAGAATCAATCCTACAGGGGCCAAGACACCCTGCACAAGTTATTGAACATTTCCAACCCTCAGTATCCTGATCTACAAAGTGGCTGAGATCATTGCCCCAACTTCCTGGGGTTTGTGAGGGTCAAATGAGATAATGTGGGCAGAGCACTTGGCATGGTGTCCACGGCAGAGCTATTTTTATTATTTCACTTAATCCTTGCAATAACCTTGTGAGGCATTGCGGATTTATTTCAGTTTGCTTGTTTGCTTGTTTTGGAAAGATCAGCATAGAGGCTGCGGTGACTTGCCCATGGGCACACAGCCCGAGTGGATTCCTGGTTGCAGAGCCCTTATATTCCACATTACTAAGATAAACCAAGGGGTAGGCAGGCTGTGGCAGCTGAATTTCTGAAACCGTCTAAGGCAGCACCACAGAGCAGTAGCACTCTTTATATATTAACATAGAAGTATATTTCTCTTACTGCAAGCCACCAGTGGGAGCCATATATATATATAATTAAAAAAATTTTTGGTAGCCACATTTAAACAATAAAGGGAAACAGGTGAATTTAT